TCTAAGATGAGAGCTCTCGAAATGCCGAATCGTGTTATGATGTTTCTCCATACAAAGCGTTTAATGTCGGCATCTCGTATATGTGTTAAAGCCTCCGTTTCGATCCATTTTGTGAAGTAATCTGTCGCGACGATTAAGAATCGCTTGTTCCCTGGGGCCCTCGGCAATGGTCCTACGATATCAAGTCCCCACTGAGCAAACGACCAGGGGTTGGTGATAGGGTTCAACCCTTCGGCAGGCAGATGGGTTAATAGGGAGAACTTTTGGCACTGTTCGCATTTTTTTACATAACTCTCCACGTCAGCCAATAATACCCCTGTGTTATAGCTCGATGGGCCAGGGAGCGTCCGCTAGAATGGGCACCACAATTGCCCTCATGTATCTCTGTCAGAAGCTCCTCCACTTTGTCGGGGTGCACGCATTCCAAATATGGACCAGAGAGGGACTTTTTATAAAGCCCTCCTTGCGGATCCAGATAGTATCACAGGGCTTTATTTCGCAGCTTGTGTGCTTCTTTTTTGTCCTCTGGGAGTTATTCAGAAGAGAGGAATACAGCAATGAGGTTCATCCAGCTTGGTGCGGATTCTATAACGTTGACATGGATTTCCTCCGAAGAGCCAATACTCGGCTCCGGGATGAAACCTACTTTGATGGTCCGTTTAATCTCAGAATTGATGGCAGAGGCTAGGCACGTCAAGGCATCCGCGTGTGTGTTCTAGTCGCGTGTTATTTGGTTCAGTTCGTGATGGTCAAATTTTGCCAGTAAGGAATTGGCCGTTTTCATGTAGGCCGCCATACGGTCGTTTCTTGCCACGTACTCCCCCTTTAGTTGACTGATTACCAATTTTGAATCACAAAACACAAGCAGACGCCGAGCGCAGAGAAGGTGCGCATTCCGCAGACCGGCTAGAAGAGCTTTGTATTCGGCTTCGTTATTTGATGCTTCGAAGCCAAGCTTGATGGCCTGCTCAATTACTACGCCGTCTAGAGACATGATTACAACTCCGGCGCCGCTGCCTCTTTGGTTAGACGATCCATCACAGTATAATTGTCAAATATCCCCAACATAAATTCTCCAGTTCGGCTTTGGTCGAACTTCAGCCTTTGGTCGAACTTCGTCAGGTTTGAGGTTGGCAAGCTCGCCGGTGAATTCGGCAACAAAGTCGGCCAACACCTGCCCCTTGATTGCGGTTTTAAGTAAAAATTGAATGTCGTATTGGCCGAGTTCAAGAGCCCATTTTGAAACACGTCCTGATGCTTCTGCACTCCGTAGTACTGATCGGAGGGGATAATTTGTTAGCACCCCAATGTTATGTCCCTGGAAGTAATGCATCAGTTTTCTTGCCGCCATGACTAGGGCTAAGATGAGTTTTTCCAGTGGAAGATAGCGTGTTTCGGCGTCAACCATTGCTTTGCTCACATAATACACTGGCCATTGCTCCCCCTCCTCCTCTTTTAGCAGTACGGCGCTGACGGCCCTATCGGAAACTGCCAAATATAGAATGAGCGGGTCACCAGCGGCGGGTGTTGTCAAGAGAGGTACTGAGCGGAGGTAGGTCTTGAGTCCGTTGAAAGCTGTTTCACATTCGGCAGACCATTCAAAAGCCTTACCCTGCCGTAGTGTTTGAAAGAATTGTCGGCAGTGATCTGTAGACCGGCTGATAAACCTGTTGAGTGCAGCGGCCATCCCCATCAACTTTTGGACTTCTTTTACTGAACGGGGGGAGCCGAGTTCCAAGATTGCTGTGATTTGCCTCGGGTTGGCTTCGATTTCTCGGTGATTGACGATGTAACCCAGGAATTTTCCAGAGTCGATTCTGAACGCACACTTGGAAACGTTCAGTTTCATTCTATATTTGCGTAAGATATTGAATGTCTTTTCTAGATCGACTATATGATTTTGTTCTTCTTTGGACTTGACCACCATATCGTCGATGTATACTTCCATAGTGTGGCCGAGTTGCTCTTTGAACATGGCGGTGACCAGTCTTTGGTAGGTTGCCCCTGCATTCTTCAGCCCAAAAAGCATAACTTTGTAGCAGTAGGTTCCTTTTGGGGTGAGGAATGCGGTTTTGTCCTGGTCATCTGGATGCATGGCAATTTGATGGTAGCCTCTGTAAGCATCGAGGAAGCTCATGCGTTGATGGCGTGCTGTCACATTGACAAGCTGGTCGATTCTGGGTAGAGAAAAACAGTCTTTGGGACAAGCTTTGTTTAGATCCATGAAATCGACACACATTCGCCAAGTCCCATTTTTCTTCTTCACCACCACTGTATTAGAGAGCCACGTAGGGTAAGTGACTTCTTTAATGCCCCGGCGTCAAGCAGTCTGTCTATCTCCTCAATAATGGCGGCAGTGTGCTCCACGGCTAACCGCCGGCCTTTCTGAATGATCGGCTTACATTTGGGATCGACATTCAGATGGTGCTGTGAAACTGACGGGTCTATTCCCGACATTTCGTACGGAGTCCACGCAAAGACGTCGAGGTTGTTGAGCAAGAAAGAGATCAGCTGTTGCCTGTCGGCCTAATTCAGAGAAACGTCGATCATGAAAAACTTTTCTGGGCTTCCATCGATGTCAACTCGATCTAAACCTTCCGTGGCCTTCTCGTTTGGATGCTGCCCAATGTCATCAAGGATCTCCCTATTCGGCACCTGAATGGAGTTTACTTGCAGTTCCTTTGGCGTTTTGGCAGCAAGGAGATAACATGCTTGTGCCGATTTCTGGGAGCCGTGGATTTGCTCAATGCCGTGTTCTGTTGGGAAACGTAGCAGTTGATGATAGGTGCTTGGGACGGCCTGCAAGATATGCAACCACGATTGCCCCATGATGAGATTGTATGGCGATGGCAGCCTGACGACCAAGAATTCCACATCGACCGTTCTGGAACCTGCTTGAACGGGTAAGCTGATCTTTCCCAATGGGTACTCTGGATTGGCATTGAAGCCGAATAGTGGATAAGGAGCTGGAGTCAGGTCTAACTCGTTGAATCCGAGTTTGATGAAGGTTTTATAATACATAACCTCCGAAGTATTGCCTTGGTCGATAAGAACGCGTTCGACGGTGAACCAGTTTACACGTAGCTCAATAACCAATGGATCGATGTGAGGGAGTGTTAAGCCGATCAAATCAAAGTCGTCAAAGATGATACTTGGCGTTTCTCGGAGTCGCTTTGCTGGCGTGAGTTGCCGTTGGGGGCCTGGATGTGATTGGATCGCATGCACGGCCGGGGCTGCTGGCAGGCTGTATATCATATGGACGGTGTCAAGCGGAAATGCATCATTCGGAAGGGCAGGTGTTTTGGTCGCACTCCTCCGGACGCATTGTTGGAGACGTTCATCATTTGCCAACTCCTCAAGATGATCTGTTGAGGCATAGCGACCGTCAGTTTCTTGCTGTCAGGCTTGAGATCATCGATCATCTGCCCTCGGGGGTTGCTCAGAAGCCTGGCGCACTGTTTGTTTGGATTTTGCTATTTCCGAGGCCAAATCGCGACGAAGGCGTTCGTTCTTAGCGATGATGTTGTCCAACCTCTGTTTGGTTTGCCTAGCTTGTGCCATGGTTGCTTGTATTGTTTTTTGCGTTGGGTTCGAAGATGAGCAGAGGTCCAAGGCAAGTCTTGCAGCGCTGGTTTTTGGTCCAAGCGAGTTTGCTGGAGTGAGGTCATCTCTCTGTGTGGTCTCGTCAGTGGCTATCGGAGGATCTTCAGTCACGCCTGCCATGGATGTATTTGAGTATGTGTATGTGTGTGAGTGTGTGTGTATAGATCCTTAATGTAAGTTTAAATTTAGCGTATAGATCACACTCGAAATTAATCTGATTCACATATTTTAAAAATTAGGCACTTTTTGGAGTTTTTTTTTTTCTTTTTTTTGGGGGTGTGTGTGGGGGGGGGATTCCTTGCATTATTAATGTGTGTATACATGCGTATAATTTGTAATATTGGTCTCGTTTGGGAAGTGACTATTTTAGTAGGCTATTTTAGTTTTTAGCCATTTTAGTAGGCTAAAATTTTTGTGTTTGGGAAGATGATTGGATTTTTTTGTGGTTGGATGTGATGTTTGTGAGAGAAAAAGTAAAATGATTATGGGTTTGATGTGATATTTTATCTTATTAGTTATTTTAGTCTATTTTATCTTTTTGTGAATTTTACCCTAGATTGGACTATTTTTTTTTCTTCCCCAACACCCCCATTATAAGGTTGGGTTTAGATGAATAAACTTTAACTGAACGTATTTGATATTAAACTTTATTAAAAAAGGTTGAGCTCTTTTGATATTAATCTTTATAAAAAAGGTTGAGCTTTTTTTTAAGTCGGTGATCCAAGCAGAGAGGTGTCATTGGATTGGGTTCACTCGGAATGATTCAAACTAATTCAAATGATTCATTTTGTAGGATTTATCAAGAAAAGTATCCATATAAAAAATTAGATTGATCAAATATTGGTAGTTAGTTAATTGAATTACATTTATCTTTAAATAAAAAGAATGGTCTAATATCAAAATTATATTTATCATTTAATTTTGTAACACAAATTTAATTCAATTATGTAATTATCGATGTCTGATAAATTTATATTTTTACATAAACTATATTTTCAATAAATTTTACAAAATAAATATTTTGAATTATCAAAAAAATTGCGAGTTCGACCTCTTGAATTGTGTAAGGGAGAGAAGCCACTTTCTTATAAAAATATAATTTATAAGAGAATTGACTATAAATAGATTACAAATAGATTGATAATTGTAAAGGGAAGATAGAAGAATAAGAAAGAGAAATTTTTTATGATCTTTATACAATTATAATTTTTAGTTCAAAGAGATTTCAAAAAAAAAAAAAAAAACTTATACATTAATATTTTATAAATACATCAGCATAAATCTCTCAAATTCAATTGTTAAATCCATAATCAAAACAATCATGCCTTTAAATCCATAAATCCAAACATAAGTTGAGTTAAATTTGAAACAGCTATGGAGATAATAGAGTTAAATACCTAAGATCATCTGTCTTTGGATCATTGCAATTTTGACTCCATTCAACCTCACTGTGTTCTTCAGAACAGGCTTGATTTGATGAAACATTGTCTTCCAAATTTTGTGAGACTACTGGGCAATTTCTCTTCTTCACCACAGACTCTTCAATTTCACATTTTTCAATGCTTGTGATTTGGGTTTTGGGATCTTTATCTTCATCTGGTTCTTTGGATGATAGAGAGGAAATCTCACTCTTCTCTATCAAGCTTGAATGCTCTGATTCCTCTGAACCAAATGATATGTTCAGTGACTCAAGCTTCTTCAGCACCAATTTCAGCTTCTTCTCTGCTCTGTTTCTTGATTTGATTTCTACCCTCAACTGGTTCTCTATCTCCATTACCTGCAGAGAGAGAGAGAGAGAGGGAGAGAGAGAGAGGTGAAATTAGTCATTGTTAAGCAGAGCCACTTTGTGGTTGTGTGTGTGTGTGCGCGTGTGTGTGAGAGAGAGAGAGAGAGAGAGAGAGAGAGAGAGAGACTCTGTTTTCATTATGGTCTGCATTTTGTCTGGCAATCCTTGAAGACACTCTCTCAGCAAGCAATCTTCCTCTTAAACACTCCAGTGTTCTCAAACCATCTTCTCCTTCCATTTTCTTTCCACTGAGTCATAACCCATATCAAATTTGTAAGAAAAATATATAACACTCCAGTGTTCTCAAACCATCTTCTCCTTCCATTTTCTTTCCACTGAGTCATAACCCATATCAAATTTGTAAGAAAAATATATATCAATTGTATATGTGTGTGTGAATCTGTATACATATATATATATATAGAGAGAGAGAGAGAGAGGGGGAGAGAGAGAGAGAGAACTCACCTCCAGTTTCCATTCACAATGCCACAATCTATGATTTTTTGCTTTCTCTTGTTTCCCCAACTGTTCTGTTTTTTGCTACTGGTTGATAGGGTAGTAATCATGTATATAATTTAAACTTTCCAAAAATCGCTGTACCTGTGTTTTATCTTTTATTTCATCTGGAAATTTAGAAGCAAATTCCATACTGCGATTAATAGGAATAATAGTGCCATTATGAATATTATGTCCTAAAAATCTAACAGTTGTCTGGAAAAGTTGCATTTTAGGAGCAGAAATAACAAGACCATTTCTGGAAATAACATGCTTAAAAATATTAAGATGTTTCATATGTTGGTCAATAGAAGATGAAAAAATAAGAACATCATCTATATAACATATGGCAAATTCTGTATAAGGATTAAAAATATCATTCATAATATGCTGAAATTCAGATGGTGCATTTTTCAAACCAAATGGCATAACATTCCATTCGTAATGCCCAAAGGGTACTGTAAAAGCAGTTTTATAGCGATCATTTTCTACAATTTGTACCTGCCAATATCCTGACTTCATATCAAATTTAGAAAAGATGACTGCATCCTGTAATCTATCTAATAAATCTTTTTTGTTTGGTACTGGATACCGAATCCACTGTAACACTTCATTCAAAGGTTTGTAATTGATTACTAACCTAGGAACACCACGTTCGATTTCGGCATTTTTATTGACATAGAAAGCAGTACAACTCCAAGGAGATCTACTGGATCTAATTAATTTTTTCTGGAGAAGAGTATTAATTTCATTTTTACAAAGTTCCATATACTCTTTTTTCATTTGACTGGGACGAGCTTTCGTAGGAATTTTCTTTTCATTAAAAGTAGGCTCATAGGGTAACGAAACCATGTGTTTCTTGCGATCCCAAAAAGCATTAGGGACATCACTGCAAATTTCTTCCTAGAATTCTTTTTCAAGTAATTTAATCTTTTGTTGAAAAGAGGATTGCTGTAGTCTTTGTTTTGTAGTTAAAAAACTAACTTCTTTTTGAAGAAAATTTATCTGGTTTTGTTTTAAAGAAACTAAATCAGTAATTTGATCTAATTCTTTTGTACAAGGAGAAGTAATAAACTCAAAAACAATGTTTTGGTTATCAAGAGTTGTATGAATACCTACTGTGTCAATCTTAGTAATTGGCATTAAAAGATTTAAGAAAGGAGTACCAAGAATTATGTTTTGCGCCATATTTTTTATTAAAACAAAAGAGGTTTTTAAGCATAATCCTTGATTACAAATTAAAACTTCTGGAAGTTTGTAATCAATATACAAACTATTACCACTGGCACTAGTTAGTGACTGGCTAGTCTTCTGGAAATACTTGGTGGGAACCAAGCCTTCTTGTATGCAATTCATATCTGCACCACTATCAACCAAAGCAATAGCATCGCGAATAATATAATCTGGTTGAATCATGAAAGTGATACGAATATACCATTTCTGAAATGTTATTCTGTTTAATAACATTAAATATTTTGGATCATTTTCAGACACTTCATTTTTGGCTTTATCCTGTAATTGATTATTAATCTTTTTAATCTGTGACTGAACAATAAGGTTTGAAGTCTGTAAATGTTTAATTTCTACTTTTAAAGCATTAATTTCCATCTTTAGTTCTTGAACTGTAATGGGTTTTTCTGTACTGGAAGTCATTACTTGACTACGGTTAAAAACTTCTTTCATGCTATAATGTTTAGGGGGAAGCACTTCTTCTTTCTTCTGATTATAGCACATTTCAAGAAATTTTAACCTTGTGGCTGGATCTTTAATGCTATCAGCAATTTCTAAAAGGTTTTGTTCTGAATCGGTAAGGACATTAATACTGGGGCCAATATTAAGTCCATTCATCTCAACAATAGCTTTCCAATAATTTGCTTCATCAGAAACTTGGTTTACTGAAGATTTACAAGGGCAAAGTTCATTTTCTGGATTATCATCAGATTCTGGTTCCGAACTATCTGAATAGATGGCTGCTAGTTCATTATCAGAAGGGCCTGATGATGAACTGGAGTCAGATATCAACTGTAATATTTTTTGGTGTATATCATCATCTAATGCTAATTCATTAAGTTTAGATTGAATCTTAACACGGCATTTATTAGCATAGTGACCTATCTGTCCACATTTATAACATTTAATACTGGATTTGTTCTTCTGAAAAGACTTTCCTTTGGACTTAGATTTATATCTAGGTTTAGAAGTATGAGGTTGTGACTGGTTCTTAAATTTAGAATACTTTCTATGTTTCTTATAAGGTTTGGAATAATTTTTATGTTTTCTTTGCTTATGAGGGTATTGAAGTGGGGGATCATAAGCAAATTGTTCACAAAATTCTCCTAACTCTTTTCTTCCTGTAATATGCTGTTGCTTAAGTTGTTGCTGGAGTTTAAGGTCATTACAAAGTGCAAGACCTTCAGAAGTGACCAGACTGATGAGTTGGCCATAGGTATACTGGTAGTAAGGTATGTCGATAGAGTGGTGTTGATCCCGTAATTTCTTACGGACTCTTTCAGCAAACACTCCAGTGTTCTCAAACCATCTTCTCCTTCCATTTTCTTTCCACTGAGTCATAACCCATATCAAATTTGTAAGAAAAATATATATCAATTGTATATGTGTGTGTGAATCTGTATACATATATATATATATAGAGAGAGAGAGGGGGAGAGAGAGAGAGAGAGAGAGAGAGAGAGAGAGAGAACTCACCTCCAGTTTCCATTCACAATGCCATAATCTATCATTTTTTGCTTTCTCTTGTTTCCCCAACTGTTCTGTTTTTTGCTACTAGTTGATCTTTGTTTGATACACCTAAAATTCAGTTAGGATCCTTTTGAAACAGAAAGATCCACCTATTGGAGGAAAACTCGCAAAAAAACATTGCTAACTAATTTTTGTTAGTTAACATATGACACTATCAATTAGGGGTGGGCGTGGGTCGGTTGCGGCCATGAAACCTCTAATCCGTCATCCGTCCGTCAGATTGGCGGATTGGAGAAAATCAATCCGCATCCGTCCGCTAATCCGGCGGATGTGGATTGAGCGGATTGGCGGTTTAACGGATGGATGCGAATCGGTTTGGCAGTTTGAAATTTTATAAATTTTCAACATAATTCAACTTGTGCATTTCTTGAAAAAAAGAAAAAAAGAAAAAAGTATTACAGTCAATGACTTAAAAAAGAATTACAATTACTGCATGCATCATCCAAAGAAAGAAAGTTTGAAACTTTAGAATATCACAATCACTGCATGTCTCATCCACATATTACAATCACAGTATGCCTCATCCACATAAATTATTACAATCTGTGGTTTTTAAAATATAAAAACAATTCAAACCACTAAAACCATGAACGGAGCAATAGTAGAGATTGTGTATGTCTCTGTATTGTTACATTTATATATGTTTTTGAAAACAAAAATCAACCAGTATATATCATATTTTTTATTTATTACTTTTAGAATTTGATTTAAAAACAAAAAAATATAGATAAATAATACCTTTATTTTTTTCAATTCAAAAAATACATTCAAGTTGAAAACTTCTTTTCAACAGAATATTTGAACTCTTTTTCAATTGAAAATACAAACAAAACATTTAAACAAATTGAAAATACAAAATCTTATAAATTACTAAGGGTGCTCGCGGTTTGGCAGTTCGGTTGCGGCCAAAAGAACCTCAAATCCGCCATCCGTCCGCCAAATTGGCGGATTGGAGAAAATCAATCCGCAACCGTCCGCTCGTCATCACGCATCCGTCCAAAATGTGGCGGATCGATTCGGTTCGGTCGGTTTTGACGGATCGGTATATCCACTGCTCACCCCTACTATCAATGAATGAATTTAACAGCCATTGAAGATGCTCTGTAGTCTGTCAGATCTGAGTTCTGAACTATGTGAAATGTATATGGATGTGTGACTGATTTTTTATTGGGTTGGTTAGATTGATACTTCTAAATAATCACTACAATATCATTTTATTTTTTGTTTTGTTTTGTTTAATTTTTTATTTTTAAATTTTAGAAGGATAAATTATACTGATCTACCTTAAGGTTTGGAAAAAAATATCGCAAACCTTACAAATACATGATTTTAAAAAAATTGGAAGGAATATAATTGAGAGTCTCCAAATATATAATTTTAAACATGCAAATACTCGTTTTAAAATGATGAAAATAAATCAATTTTTATAATCGGAAGTCTCCAAATATATAATTTTAAAGAATAATGCTTGGGACACCCTTTTGGGGGTCACCCCCTCACCCCCCCTTTGCCACGTGGCGAGTGGTGATTGGAGGAGCAGGAAAAAAAAGAAAAAGAAAAAGAAAATGTAACCAATGAGAGAGAGGGGGTCCAAGGGGGTGGGGGGAAAAGGGGGATGAATCATTGTTGAATTTTAAAAACCATGCAAATACCCCTAAAATGGTGGAAATGAATCAATTTTTATAATTGAAAGACTCCAAATATACTATTTTAAAATTGAAAGAATAAAATATTATACAATAATAATTAAAGTGGTGTCCGTATAATTTAGTTCTTTTTATTTTTGAACTTTTTTAATAAATTCCTTTTGTTTTGGCTAGAATAAAACCCTTGTTTATACAATAACAAAGATGCTAACATCTCTGTAAGAAAACCAAGGTCAAAACTTGGGACCCTGGTCTCTCAATCAGATGGGATCTATATATTTATACAAGTAGATATATACCTTTTTTTTATTAATTTTTTTCTTATTTGATTCATAAGTAGATAGATATATGCACTTACAA